CAGACACACACACACACACATATATATATATATATATATATATATATATATATATATATATATATATATATATATATATATATATATATGAGTACTCATACATCTATCCACATACCTACACAGAGAGGCATTCACACATCTATAATAAAGACAACCACATGTATGTGTGTGTTTGTGTGTATGTGTTTGTGCACATTATAAATATGCGAACACCTCTGTGTATTAGTGCGTGAGTGCATACGCTGACGTGTGCGGATGTAAGTATACGCATACGTATGTGTGTATAGGTATGTGGACAGATGTATGTGAACTCATCTTTCTTTGTGTTTGTTTGTCTTTGTGCGGGTGCGACTGTGCACACAAACGCACGGGATACACCGACGCCAAATAAAAAGGAAACCAACCTCAGACGACAGCGAACGAGGGAGGAAGAGAAACACAAATAGAAGGAAAGTTATGTCACAAAATGGTACCAGCCTTCCAGCGTCGGCATGTCCGGCGAGGAGGAGGAGGAAGGAAAAACATGAGATAAGTCATGTCTTCGTGAACAACAAAATGATGTCTTTATGAACGCATTTCTTTGTCCTGTAATCCGTAAAGTATAAAACATACATCTTTAAAGTAAAGGATGTAAAGTATAAATCCGCAATATGAAGTGCCAAAGCTCTTAATGCATTTTACCTCTACAACGACTCCCCCTCTTTGGCTCGAGTACTTTGGCACCTTCTACCTGGCACTGGCCTGGCACTCTCACTATCTCTTGCACTTGACCCCCCGATGACCTCGCGCGCTTTATGTGCATCTCAGCTAACCCTTGCGTATATCATCGAGCATTAAATACCCATCATTAATATGGTTATTTTCATTATTTTATCGTGTTATGCGGTATTTGACATTACACGTATATCGTAGTTGTGTTCTTTTTAGTGTTGCTTTTTTTCTGAACGTGATTTGATCTGAGAAAGAAACGTAGATTTGGAAGACATAGTCGCCCGGTCTGAGTTATGTTCATAGACACGTATCCCTTCCAGAGCACCAGAGAAAACGCACAGGAAAATAATTTTGTACTTGCGATCGCGGGTTCCATACTGACCCAACTTACGCCTCAAAACTATCCTAATCCAGGCATGGCTTCGACCTCGGGGATAACCCAGGTAAAGTCCCCCATAACACGGAAGAGCAACCTGGGCCTCGCATTCCCCCCACTTCCTGTGCTGGTGACGTCATCGCGATTCGTAACCTGGTGCCATGACTCATAGAAAACGAGAATGCGGGAACAAAGTCCTCTCGCCCCCCCCCCCCCCCCCCCCCCCTACTACCCGCGCTCTTCCAGGAACGAGGCGTCGAACGTGTCTGTTGTGAACCTCAAGGTATTACTCATCCGTAGAGCCATAATAGGTACTGTGCGTTGGTTTACTCGACCATAGGACTGTTAGATTTGTATGTGAGTCTCTCGGTCCATTGGTTATGGAGAAAATAAATTTATGAATGGTATGGAATTGTGGCTACAAATCCACGGTATGTGTACAGGTGTAGTTCGTTATTTCAACTTCGAAAATCTGAATTACGAACGAGGATGTAAATTTTACGTCAATATCACCGTTATATTGGTTGATATACAGAAAACAGTACGCATGCTTATTTTTAGAATATGCTTTTGTAAGAAAGGGAAAATATTGATTGGATTAGTGCATGATGTCGTGTTGGCATCACCTCCCCCGAGCGTGAGTTGCCAAGTCGCCCTTTATTCGCCCGGAGGAACACCTGATAATTGTAACATTTGATTTGATCCTTAAGACATTTACTACTACATGTGACCTTTTTACTCTTACTGATCGAACAGCATTTTTCATCGTAATTAAAGATACAGATATAAATTAAATGATCACCAGGGGAATCTACTGAAATGCTAACAGATTATTATGCAAGAGAATAACCACGTTGGTTATAAAAATGTAGGTCACGAAAATGAATCATTGATGTGTATTTGTCCTTCCCTTTTACTGCTCTTCCATCTATGCCGCTGGTACATATTTCGTTAATCCTTTCATCACTTTTTTTCTTGAAATCGGTTTTTCTTTGTCTTTATATCACTTTTTTTTTCTTTTCTATCACTTTTTCTTATGGCTTTCTATCACTTTTACTTTGTCTTCCTATCACGTTTTCAGTAAGTCTTTCTATCACATTATCTTTAAGTCTTCCTAATACTTTTTCTTCAGTCTTCCAACCCATCTTCTGTCCAGCCCCACCTCCCTTTCTCTTCCCTCGCCCGTCAGCCGTCGTTCCAGACCCATTATCAGCTGAGAAAAGTCCCATTGCTACGACTTCCAAGCCGCTTATTAACATTTCACACAGGCCCTCGTGGATCGGAGGTTCCTTTCACAATCCCTCGCAATCAGACGCCATGGCCACTATTGCAGAGTACTGGATCTATGATTCATTAGGTAAAAGCCTCAATTTATTACGCTGTGTATCCTCGTAGTCTTCTTCGTCAGTTCTGAAGCTAATAAAAGAAGTGATGTGATGATGGTAATAATGATGATGATAATGTTTATTTCTTTTTTCCTTTTATTTTCGTTAACTAGTGAGCAGTTTCATCATTCATGTAACTGGGTTTACAAAATAGAAGAATTCATATATATTTCGATCTTCCAGTAGAGGAGGAGGGAGAGGGAGGGAGGGAGGGAGGGAGGGAGGGAGGGAGAGGGAGGGTACCGACCACACCAAACCTTTCCTATGTTCCTTTTCCTCCACACAACTCCGAAGTCTCTTCTGCTGTCACGGCGGCCATAAGCCTTGGATGAGCAGTTAAATTATCTAAATAATTGCACTTGTACATTAGAAGACTTCATTTATCGACCGCATCCAAAACTCTCCCGTAATGTTCCTCTTCCCTCCACGTATCTCTAAGTCTCTCCCTTGAACGAGCAGCTAAATTATCTGCGAAACTGTACTTGTCCAATAAGAGAATTCAAATATCTTTAGCCTTCGACCACATCTAGACTTTTCTCATCGTGTTCCTTTTCCTCCACACAGCTCCCAAGTCTCCCCCTCTCCTCCTCTCCACAGCTGACGTTCTCCTGCAATCAAGGCTGGACGAGTAATCAAGAGTCCAGCGCTAAGAAAAAAAAAGAAAAAAGATAATGAGGGAAACCTGGACTGAAACTCCTGTTCCGGAGCCTCGAGGGGTTCGAATCGGCCTCGCGTCTCGCCGCCTTTTCCTCTGGATAAATTCGCCAGTGTCATCATCGTCGCTGCCTTTCACGCTCTGGTCAGATGGTCTGCTCGTTGGTAGCGGTTCGTGAGATTCGGGAAAGACTGGTTTTGAGTGTATTGTTTTCGTCGTGGTTTACTGGACAGCGCAAGTGGAAACGCGGTGATTTTTTTTTTTTTTTTTTTTTTTTTTTTAAAAGTCATGGGTTGGATTCACTACGTTCAGTCAAATGTATTTTCGAGGAAAATCACCACCTTTTCAGTTATATTGCACATTGTAATATCGGCTTCCATTTTCCATCTGGCCCTCACCGGGTACAGAACACGAACTATAGGAACACATCTGCGTCGGATCATGAACGAGTTATACCCAAAGTACGAAAGCCGATGTTCCGCAAAACGCACAATACGAACGACCCACTAGCGTTCCTCGAAGACCCATCCGCGTGAAATCCGAAACGAACTAGGCCGGGAGGTGAACTCACTCGTAAAGAATATAAAAAGGAGCGCGGCGGATCCAGGCAAGTTGAGTTCTACGCGTGAACATCGTGTGCCGCGCGCTTGGCGCCTTGTGTAAGGCCCATTCAGAGAGCTCTCGTCACTTAACCCCGTGCGATTAGTCATTAGTGAGGAGGAGTGATTTAATTGATCTCTCGCCCTTAATTGGTGATTAGTGATATCGAGTGATGACCCGAACGGACGGACCTTTAACGAAGTGTGCAATGGTGACCTTGCGTGGATATTCTGTGCTTTCGTGTGCAACGTGGAGTGCTGCGAGTGCTGTGTTGTCGGAGGGAAAGCGCTCTGCCTTGGACTTCGGAAAATGATAGTCTTGAAAAGGGAAGACACTCTCACTCAGTAGCGCTATGTAGTTCCTGCCTTCCGACCGAGGCATCTCAGGAATGCGACATAAACAAGAACAAGAAAGGAAGAAAGGAAAGAGTAGAAATCCAAGGTTTTTTCAATTCTTCTTGATTTACGATGATGTTTACATGTTGTCTGGACTCACACCACTTGAGCGCCGCTCACACGATCCGGGCGTCTTTTTCATCGCGGGGTCGGGGTGGAGGGAGGGGGGAGGGGAAGGGAAGGGCCCCTCTCTCGCGCTCGCGGGAGCAGGGAGGCCGGGGGGGGGGGGGGCAGGGGCGGGGCGGGGCGGAGGGTGGAGGCGCCAGGGTGTTGTGGAGTGAGTGACGCCGTGGACGCACTTCCCGCTCCACCTTCTGCGAAGTCCTGGGCGGAAATGCTCGGGGAATGAAGTTCTTCCGATCACCTTGAAGTCACGACAGGGTCCTGGAGCGACACACAAAAGCAGACCGCGCGCGCGCACTTGTTTGTGACACACTTCTCGATTTTTATTAAACGCAGTCATTTAATACTCGTTTTCTAGTCGCTTATTATCCAGTTAATGCTAATGTACAAGCCGCAAGGCAGCCATTCAAGGATTTTTTTGTGTAATGACAAAGGAAGGATTATAAGCTGCGCGAGGAAGCAGAACGGATTTTTTCTCCCTCCGGCTGTTCTTTGCTTGTTCATCGACCGAAAACAGACCAACAGAACAGTAATGTATCAAAGGATGTGAGATTTTGCAACAATATCATATTCATGCAATTAGCATTTTGTATAAAGAAATCCTTCCTTTGGCAAACGCATCCTTTTCTTGTACAGAGTAAGGCTTTCTAGTGCACTTAGGTCCTTCCTCTTGCGAAAAGCCCTCCAGAGAAATCCTTCCTTGCGCCGAGATCCTTCCCGCAAAGACCGCCTCCTTGGCACTCTCTAACCTCTCTCTCTCCTCTTTTTTCCAGCAGCCTCGCAAGATCACCAGCAGCCTCCGAGACGAGCGAGAGACGAGATAGACTGTCTCAGGAACCTCCGTTAAAGCCCCTAGGACTCGTGCGAACGTCGTGAACATGACCTGCTGTACCCTGCGGTGTGTCATCAAGTGCGGCATCTTCTTGGCCGCCTTGGACATCGTGAGTGCGAGACGAGTTTGTGTTTTTTTTTTTTTTTTTTTTTTTTTTTTTGAGACTGTCAGTGATCTTTCAGTGAAAGTATGAGGAGTCTTAGGTATATGTATAAGAACTATTTGCTCTGATTTTTTTTTTTTTTTACAAAAGGATTCTACTCCATTAGTACACACTCTAAGGACCCCACATGAACTATTCCTACACCTGTACCAACAACGACATTCTTTTGCGAGACGCGAGGGAACCCAATCACACCCTGCCGATAGGAGACACGAACAACACGCGTCTCTCATTGTTCATCACTCACGCCCTGTTCGGGACAGCCACCTGCACATAGCATCATCATCCCCCAATCCCTCCCTTACAGCTGCGGCGTCTTGCTCTCGCTACGGAGGGTAACCTTTGCCTCCACACCCTTTCAGCTGCTCTCTGCGGCCACGATACTACTACCTCAGGGCCCCGTAACCTCCTCTTCTCGTAAATCTCCTCTCTTTTTATCATTATTTTCTCTTCTGTAGGCTTTCTCCTTTTCTATTTTTTTTAGATTAAAAGATTCTTTAGTATTCGAATTATCTTTCCTGTCTCTCTTATGCGCTTGTTGGTCCTTCCTCTCTTCCCTCCTATCTTCCGCCTTTCTCTAAATACACGTTTATCTTGTTCTTCCCAACCTTCTTATACACATATACATCAACTTTGACCGCAAAAGAAACTCTCACAATCCCCTTTCAAAGCATACAAACATTTCCATCCCTTCACTAAGCCAATGCAACCACAGAATGCAAAAAAACTCTTCACCAAATAAAGTTCAAAGTTACCCCAGCATAGTTACACTTTCCAAACCACCCAATGTAACCACACTTGACAACCACGCCACCACAAGACCCACATCTAAGCCGCGAATACCAAACCTAAACAGTTTTATTTTTTCTCCCTCTTTCAGATCCACGCCGTCACGAGTTTTGGCTTCTATGGCTACCAGTACATTATCGAGATGTGGTACTTGTGTCCGATCGACCTTGCGGTGGAGAAATGCCACAATAAGATCTATATCTTCGAGCAGAGTGAGTGTTTCTGCTGCTGTTGAGGTTTAGTCCAAGCAACGGTGATTATTGTGACGGCAATCACGGTCAAAACAAGGCTAATGGTGATGATGCTAATAGCCAAGTGATGTAATGAGGAGAGGATAATGACGCTGTTCGACTGCTGTGCTTCTTGTGCACTGCAGAGCTTCACAACCACCCATTACTAGCGCCAAAAGAACTATGCCATCATGAAAGAATAATTAAACCGAAATGATAACGGTTCTTGAAATTTATGATGTTTAGTCTCACCGGTGAAAGTAACCCCAGAGTGGAAATGAGACGCATGGTGATCGTCTTTTTTTTTTTCTTCCAGTGTTCGAAATGCGCTGCTACATCGGCGTCGGGGAAGGCATCGCCGGCATCTTCTGCTGCGCCATCTATATCCTTGCGTTAGTCAAGGTAAGAGAGAGAGAGAGAGAGAGAGAGAGAGAGAGAGAGAGAGAGAGAGAGAGAGAGAGAGAGAGGAGAGAGGAGAGAGAGGAGAGAGAGAAGAGAGAGAGAGAGAGGAGAGAGATCAGAGAGAGCTGAGAGAGAAGGGTTAGAGAGAGAGAGAGAGAGGAAGGAGGGAGAGAATGAAGTGAGAGAACGAAGAAAGGGGAAGGAGAGAGATAAGGAAGAGAGGGTAGGAGGAGAGAGAATGAGAGGTAGAAGGGCGAGAGAGAGAGAGAGAGAGAGAGAGAGAGAGAGAGAGAGAGAGAGGAGAGAGGAGAGAGAGAGAGAGAGGAAGAGAGAGAGAGAGAGAGAGAGAGAGAGAGAGATAAGGGGAGGGGGGGGGTGTAGGGGAGGGATAAGGGGCACCGTGATCTGTCATGCCGGATGTTGAGGGATGGTCGCGGATAATCAGAGGCCCAGCATCTCTCTCTCTGGTTTCGCCCATGGCATCCCTGTGCCCTCTGCCGCCACGGTGTATTTTTTGGCTCTTGCGCTGCTTGGCACTGGCACCGATGCCTCGCTGTTTGCGTAAGGTGCTTCACGGGGCGGCGATTGCACGTAAAGGGGCTTGCGAAGGAAGAAAAAAAAGAGAGTTGTAATAAATAAGGTGTAGTAGGAAAGAGAGGGTTGGGGTATGGGATGGATAGGGAGGGTAGGGAAGAGGTGTGTGTGTGTGTGTGTGTGTGTGTGTGTGTGTGTGTGTGTGTGTGTGTGTGTGTGTTGTGTGTGTATGTGTGTATGTGTGTGTGTGTGTATGTTCGTATCTCTATATCTATCTATATATAATTTTATGTTTAAGTATATGTACATAAGCCCGTGTCTGCGTGAGGGCGTGGTGCGCGTGTGTGTACGTGTATGTATCCGGAGGGGGGGGGGGGGCTATCCTTCACTTGCAAGACTGGCAACTAGCGACCGTTAAAGGTCACGACGGAACGCCTCGGTGGTGCGGGGAGGACGGAGGACTTGCGAAAAGGTTAACTGTCCTCCTCCGAAGACTAAGCCATGAGAAAGAAATCGGACGAAGATCTGTGACACAGCTGATCGCGGCACAGTCCTGCATTCACGCGCGCCTTATCAAAGAGCCTTTAAAGGAAGCCTCCCTCACCTCGGAGGCGTGTCCCCGGCGAGGAACTGATGCCCCAGAAACCCCGCGCGATCTCCCCAAAACAGCAAGAAACGCCGGGCCAGGATTACCGCCTTTACCGCAAGTGATTCGAATGCGACGCTAGAGACTTGATTTCGGCGCCGAGTTCGTCATCGATGGTTGCCTGAGTATCATGATTTAAGAATTCATACGCAATTGTAACATAAGTAATAGATTTGCGAAATTTAATTAAAGTGCAGACATTGTTATGGTCAACAGATAAATTACAGCCATCTTAATCCGAAGTCTAAGCTCCAACATTCACAAGGTTTGCGGTCACGGTGGTGCGCGCCAGTGTAAACAAAACGGCCATTTCGAAAAGCGAGGCTCAGGCGGAGGGTCGATTTTAGGTTTTAAAAGAGTTTCAGGAGGAGGTACGTACTTGTAGACCTCTGGCCGCGTTCACTAATGTAATTCTATCCCAGCGAGGAAGAACAGAAAATTAGGGTGCATCCGCGAGCACCCTTTCTCCTCGCCCTACACAGGCCCTCCTTTTAAGGGCCTCCGAACCCCGCGTGCAAGAAGGGTGCAAACGCACTGGGCTTTTGCTTGTTGCTTTAACTGATAAACACAAGTACTGCAGCCTCGCATATCAAAGCAAATTAAGAAGCAATATCAGTTTTATGTTTCAAGAGCGATTAGGAAGATTTCTCTCGTGAAGAATGGTGATAAGATTTTACATTCGGTTTTATTAGTATTTGGTATAAATGATGATGACTACGGCCCCATGAAAGGCATGATTCCAGTGCAGTAATTAAGTGCACAATATCTCAGTTTGGGCTGAAGTCATGCTTCTATAGAAGAGGGGAAACTGCCACATTTACACACCCAAAAGTAATTTCGCAATTCCTCAAATAGATCATCATGGTTTCGCCGGTCGTTGCCCGGGTCTCCGGCAACGCAGATGAGACTTAAATAGTTATCCCTAACGCTGGTAATGGCTCTCCTAGAGGGTCCTTCAAGCACCCCAACGCTGAAGTGCCGAGGTCCTGACTGTGTGGCCCTTTCATCCTTAGGTCCTTCAAGGAGTTTTTTTTCGTACCTTTTATCTCGGACTCGTAAGGACTCTTCAAAGCCCCTCCGGTGTTTTGTCCGCGTTTGTTGTGTGCAGGACGGAAAGCGCGGCGTCTTAATTGCGTCTCCGTTGGGCGGGTGGGAGGTGCCGTCAGCAGTGAGGTTATACTGGTCCTTCTACTGTTATCGAGGGTGTGACTGCGCGAGTTATGGCGATCGTTATCGGGAGGGTGATGGCGCTAATGAGTGGCTTGGTGTGTCTTCTCAGAGGTGCACACTCTCTTAAGTATTTGTTTGATTTTTTGTTTGCATACATGCGTAGATGAAGCATGTTGCCAACAGTTAGTTTCTGTGATGGATGCGTGGCCGTTTAGCGGTGTGGTGCTAATAGCATTGCAACTTGTTAAGCCTATTGATGGTCTTTATTACCTTCTTTCATTAACATCCCTTGATTAATTCGGTTATCAAGTCCCTTTGACTTGTGAAACGTTAACCCCCGAAGATCTTTGTTTATTTGCTTCGTCTTTTTCTGTTTCCTAACCCCCCCCCCTCCCCTTGTAGCGCAAGCCCTCTCTCACCTGGCTGTGGCTCATCAAGTCCTTCGCTGTCATCGGCGTCAACATCTACTACCTGAGCAACTGGGTCATCAGACAAGGCCGCTACGACCACCTGGAGTGGGAGAAGCAGACGTACGAGGACGAGTTCATCTGGGCCGCCGAAGGCCTCACCCTCGCGCAGATTCTCATCATGCTCTTCTATTGCCTCATCGGCGGCCTCTTCACCTACAAGGTAAGGCGGATAGGAAGACGCCAGGCGGCGCCATCTTGGTTCTTGCCGGCCGGGCGCCGATCGCTCATTGGTCCGCGACTTGGCTTGTCCGTCGCTCATTGGTCCGTTTTCTTTGCGACCGTTGGTGGTTACGTGATTTAAATGGAGTAAAACTTGGCAGTAATTTCACGGTCGTTATGGTTGATTTTTAAAGAAGCGAACGGAAAACAACGTGAAATTTGCTGTAGCAGATCCAAAGTTACCATGTTTAGCATAATGATCAAGAGTATCTTGTGCAAAAACAGAAAGCAGTGGGAGGACGTGAATATGATTAACAAAGTCGGTTAAAATGTTAGACTGCTGAGAGCAACGGCCATGAGGGAAGTTTCGTAATACAGGAGACCACAGGTTGCTTGTTCATTTCACCCGAACACTCGGAAATGCCACGACCAGGGCGCCCCATGTCAACGCAGCCGCCGATTGCTGTCAGGAGGGCCATTAATGTCTTAAATGAGTGAGGCGGGATGGCATCGCTGCCTCACCTCTCGTAACACACACACACACACACACACACACACACACACACACACACACACACACACACACACACACACACACACACACACACACACACACACACACACACACTCGGCTCTCAAACCAAACTAAAAAAAAAAGAAAGAAAAAAAAATTTCTAGTTCGACCGAGACAGCCGATTCACCATATCTCTGAAAGCATTCTCGTCTTCCTTCGCAATCTCCAGTTATTTACAAACACAATGTTCGTGTGTTGTGCGTCGCATATTCTGCCTCGTTGAAATCTTTTTGCTCGTGCACGGCTGCAATTGCTTGAGCCTTTGTGCTTTGCTGGTGCCCTGCGCGCCCCGCGAACAAGCAACGAGGCCACGCTGAGCCCGGCGCGAGGGAGGGCACCAAGCAGCAATGCATCTTAAACGAAGGTTCATTTGTCTATTGATATCTTAGAGGTGATCGTCTTTAAGGTGAATATCAGGCATTTGGCTTCATTAAGACTAATGCAGCGCGGGTGTCTCCATTAAGGTTAATATCATGCAGATGTTCGTTAGGAATCCCTTCCCCTCCCTTCCCTCCCCACCCCCTCCCCTTCCTCTCTTCCCCCATTGGCTTCCCCTTCACCCCTTCTCCCCCTCCCCTCCCCCACCCTCCTCTCCACCCCTGCTCCTCGTGAGCGTTTGAAACCCTTCTCTTCTCTTCTCATTCTTCGCCTTTGTTACATTTTTGTCTCTTTTAACATTCCTCTGTTTACTTCTCCCCTCTTCTCCTCCTCCTCCTCCTCCGCCTGCTGCCCCCCCTCCCGTACCCACTCCCTCCCCACCCCTCCTGCTACCGCCATTTATGTCAATCATAAGCTCGTGACGTCACTGATCGAATCATACCGGGAATGTACCAGTAAGGCGTGGCTCCCGGTTGCGGGCGTACTTGCATGTGTTGGATGCGTGTACGGGCGTGGGCGTGGTTGGCAGGTGACGCCGGAAGGTTAAAGAGAATGATGAGAAAATGCAAGAATTATTTACAAGACGCCCACATGCACGTTCTGCACCTCGCACGAACAATCAAAAACAACCTCTCGTAACACACACACACACACACACACACACACACACCACACACACACCACACACACACACACACACACACACACACACACACACACACACACACACACACACCTCACCACACGATACACCGAACTCCATTTTCAAAAAGAAAAAGATACCCCCCCCCAAAAAAAAAAAAAAAAAAAAAAATCCCATTGAATTACCTACACCCATAACTCACAAGAAGAAAGACAAAGATAATTGCTGAAGAATATGTTACGTCATGACAGACCATCACAGCTAATTACAAATATCGCTTCCTGACACTTGACAACGATGACTGACTCCAGCAAGTATACCGTGGACTTTGGTGTGGCCTTTGTTGGCGAAGCTTGGAGTATGATAAGTGATTTATAATAACTGGGATGATGATGGTGATTGTGGTGATTGTTATTGTTATTGTTCGCTTTCTCTTTGTTCTTGTTCTTGCTCTTCGTCTTTTTTCTTCTTCGTTATCGTGTTATTATGATGATTATGGTTTTGATCATGATCATTATTATTATTATTGTTATTGTTGTTGTTTGTTGTTGTTGTTGTTGTTGTTATTGCTATTGCTACTATTACTACTACTGTTACTATTACTGTTATTATTGATATTATTATCATTGTTATTATAATTATTATTATTACTATAACGATTACTACTATTACTATTACTGTTACTATTTCTATAATGATAATAGTAATAATAATAATTATTATTATCATTATTATCATTAATCTAAATTATCAATATTGTCTTCATCATCATCTTGTTATTATTGTTTATATGTTTATCGTGATGATAATGAAATGATAATAGTAATATTAATGATGATGATGATGGCATTGATTTTGAGAGTAATGAACATTTTGATAATTGTGTGACTGTGGGTCATTATAGTTTTCATTATTGCAATTATCTTGATCATCATCATTATTATACTTATTGGTTTTGTTGCTCTTGCATTCTTTTACGATGAAGTTAGTGAAGATATTGATATGATTTTTATTCGTCTTCTTTACCTTTATTATTAATAATTATCATTACGATCATTAAGGAGAGCGATTATTATTATATCGTTTCTTTATTATTGGCGTTGACATGGTTGTTGTGTTGTTGCTGATGTCGTTATTATTATTATTTGCTTTATCATTTATATTATCGTTATTTTATTATTATTATCATATTTTATCATTATTGTTGTTGTGTTGTTGCTGATGTTATTATTATTATTATTATTACTTTTATCATTTATATTATCGTTATCTTTATTATTATTATCATTTTATCATTATTGTTATTATTATTATTATTATTATTATTATTATTATTATTATTATTATTATTATTATTATTTTAACTATTATCATTATTATCATTTATATTATCTTTATCTTATTATTATTATTATTATTTTATCATTATTATTATTATCATTGTTATTATTATTATTTATTATTATTATTATTTATTATTATTATTATTATTATTATAATCATTTTTATTATCATCATCATTAGCATTAGCATTATTACCACTACTGCTGCTGCTATTACTTTTGCTACTACCTTCACTTCTACTATTACTGATTCTCCTACTATTTTTTTAATCATCATCGCCATCATTATTTTCTTATGACAATAACAGAGCTTATTATTACTATCATTTTGTTGTTCTTATTCGTTTTCACATTTATTAGCAGTAATATAGTAATTAGTAGTAGTACTTATACTAGTGACAACAGTAGTATATGTTAGTTACTATTATTGCTATTATAACTACTATTAGGTCAACTGTTGTTACTTCTGATGTTGCTGCTATTATTTTTTCTTTATTGGTAATAATGGTGATGATGATAATGGTAATGATAGCAGTTATAATAATAATGATCATAATAATGAGAATATAATGAGAGTTATTATCATTAATATTATTTATGTTATCCTTACCACTTTAACTACTATAACGATAGTTATTAAGTCCCCCCATCCAGGCCCCCAAGGCAGCGCCCCTAACCCCTCCCCTTCCTCCCCAGGTGGTGGAGGAGAAGCGCGCCAGCCGCAGGAGCCTGCGGTCGCGCCGCAAGTGGAACTCGCACGACGCCACGGCGCCCCCGATGGGCTACGACGACGAGGAGGCGCAGTACCTGAACCAGGCGCTGACCAACAGCGAGAAGACGCTGCCGGTGCGCGCCTCCAAGCAGAGCCTGGCCGCCGCCTCGCAGCACAGCATGACGGAGCTGGACCGCCCCGACTCCTACAAGCACTCGACGGGCGTCTAGAGGCGGTGGGCGGGGCTTGTTGCCGCCGCGGATGAGCGCTCTTAGAGTTTTATAATTTTATTTTTTGATAGTCGTCCTCTCCCTCTCCCTTTCTCACTTCCTTGCGTCGAGAGCCAGCTGGGGCTCGGGTCTCCTGAGAGATTTTTCCGAGAGACTTTTCCTTGGCCCGGGAGGGAGGACTCCCGTGGCTTCCATCCGTCGCCAGCTAGCTAATATTTGAATCAAATATTTGATCTAGTCGGCGGAAATATCTTCTTTTTGTTCGTGTGAATCTCTTCCTTGCATGCTTCGTGGCTTCTGACATTCTGACTGAGGCGTTTTTTTTGTTTCATTCTCTTTTCATTTTATTTTAGCTCATGTTTTGAAAGAAAAGAAGGAAAGGAGTTAAAAAAAAAGGCATCTGATCTTTGAAAACGGATCTCTTAAGCTTCAAGCGAAAGTAATCTCTTGTCAGATTTAGAAATAAGAATCTTTCAACAACCGGAAGTGAAAGACAAAACCCCGACCGTGAGTACTTTTCGTGCCATGAAGGAAACCTCGAGCCTGACTTCGTGTTTTCTTGTAAAAAAAA